CCCAAGTTATTTACTTTCACTGTGTTTCATTTTTCTCACCTGAAAGACGCAGGTAAGCACACGTCCTACTTCAAAGGGTGGCTGTGAGAACTCAGTAAGCTCATAAATGCGCTGCCTTTTTGCGGCGGCTGGCACAGAGGACGTACCCAATAAAGGTAAGCTAGTGCTCATATTTATTCAATCCTTTCTGAGCTCCCATATCACCTGACCTCTGTTCTCAGGCCTGCCCTGGGCACTGAATCCTTAGAGATGAATCAGAGCCAAGCCCTGTCCTCAGAAAGCCCACAGACACAAACACATGCTAACTACTGAATGTCTACATCCCTGATTTTTGGGAAAATGTGAAAGCTCTTATAAATGCAGGCCTGTATGTAAGTGCATGGAAGGATTTGGAGGAAATATTACGTGGAAAGAGCAAGTTGCCAGAACAAAATATTTAGTGTTAAAACAATAAAAGCCCACTTTCTTTCTCTATATATGAACAGAGCAGGAGCTGGAGTTGGTGCACTCCAATACATACAACACGGACTATAAATACAGGCCATCTTTGTAAGTTCACATTTCCTAGTGGCATTTTTATAAAAGTAAGAAAAATGTGAAATTAATATTAATATATTTTATTCGACCCACTATACCAAAAATATCATTTCAACATGTGACCAACATAAAAAGCTTTGCTGAGATCTTCTACGCTCTCCGTTGTCATAAGTCTTATAACTCTGGTGTGTATTTACAAGCACATCTCAATTCAAACTAGCCACACTTCAAGTGTTCTACAGCCACATAGAAGGGGCTAATGCACTGGACAGCTCATGCCTAGAAATATTCCCACAGACCTGGTAACAAGGGGTGGGGTGGGGGGTTTGACAGAGATGGTTTAAGTCAAAGGTTGGCAATCTTTCCTATAAAGGGCCAGATAGTTAACATTTTAGGCTTTAAGGGGCCAGACAATCTCTGTTGTAACGACTCAACTCTATCCTGCTGTTGTAGCACAAAAAATAGCCATAGACATTATGTAAACAAATGGGTGTGTCTGTTTTCAATAAAACATGTATTAAAAAAAAAATCACAGGGTCACTGGTGGCTGTTTGCCAATCCCTGGTTTAAGGGATGGCTCACAAGATCCTTCTAAGACAGTCCATTTCATCTTCACCTCCCACAACAGCTGGTTTCCTCGGCTCCAGCCACACTGGCCTTCCTGCTGTTCCCAGAACACACACTATATATTCCTGCCTCAGGACCTTTACACCTGCTTCCTCTGCCTGGAATGCTATTCCCCAGATATCTGTAGGGCCTGCTCCCTCCTGTCACATCTCCCCTCAAATGACACCTTGTAAGGCCCTCCCTCCAGCTGTTCTAAAACTGTAACACTCTCCTGTCCTCCCCATGCCTGCTTTATTTTTCTCCGTTGCACTTACGACCATCTAACCTCCTCTACATGGCACTTGTCTGTTCCTTGTCTGTCTCCACAACAAAGTCAGCTCCATGAGGGCAGATTTTTGTCTGCTTTGTTCATTGCTGTTGTCCCATTACCCAGATCAATCCTTACCACACACCTGGTACTGCACAAATATTTGTTGATTGAGTAGTTCCCCTTCAGACTTCAATGCAAAAATAGTAAAATTAACAAGAGAATAAAAAGGAAATTAAATTACTTTTGCAAAAAAAGAAATTTTAAGGCACTTCATCATCCTCAAACTATCATTTTCCCCCTTCCAACTACAGGCAACTCTGGTAGGCAGAATAGCCTCCCAAGCTGTCCACACCCTAATCCCTAGAACCTGTATATTAACCTTCCACCGCAAAAGGACCTTGGCAGAAGCATCAAGGTTAAGGACTTTGAAATGGGGCGATCAGACTGGGTTACCTGGGTTAACCAGGTGGGCCCAATCTAATCACCTGGAGCCCTAGAATCAGAGACCCCTTCCTAGCTGATTAGAGGGAGGTGTGGCTGCAGAAGAATGCTCACAGCTGCAACACGGCTGGCTCTCAGGAGGGCGGGGGGGGCCACGAATACCGGCACGCTCTAGAGGCTGGAGGAGGCCAGGAAACGAACTCCCCCCGACAGCCCGAGGAAAGGAGCACAGGCCTGCTGACACCTGGGTTTTTAGTCCAGTGAGACCAGAGTCACACTTACGAGCTCCAGAACTGTAAGGCAAATAACACTGGTCTTTTTCAGGCCACTAAGTTTGCCTCAAACAGCTTTTCTCCGCCTTATCCTACAGACTTTGGGGCAGGTAACATTTTGCTGCGGGGACTGTCCTGTGGCTCCCAAGGAGGTTGAGCAGCATTCGACCTCTACTCACTATGTGCCAGGGGCACTTCCCCAGTGGTGACAGCCAAAAATGTCTCCAGACATGCCCCCCGATGAGCAAAATCCACTGTGGGTTGAGAATTACTACCACTCCCTCTCTGGTCTCTTCCCCACGCTCTTCCCGGAGCTGGCTCCTTCTTCCAGTCTCACCTTAAATGCTGCAGCCTCAGAAAAGCCTTCCCTGACTGACCTACTTAAATGGACCTTTCCCGCCACACTCGGTGCTTGCCGGGCACTGCACCCCGAGAGCTTCGTGACTCTCCCCTTGCCTCTGACACTTGGCTCAAAAATCCCCTTCTCGGCAAGGCCCTCCTTGACCATCCTTTAAAAAATGCACACACACACACACAACTCCATGTTTCTCCTTAGCACTTACCACCACCTAACATGGCACACGTTTACTTATGGTCTTGTTTACTGTCTGTTTTCCCTCATTACAACATGAGCTCCTTGAGGCTGTGTTTGTCTATCTGGTTCCATGTGGTACACCTGTGCATAAAACACAGTGCCCTACCCAGAAGAGGCCTAATATTTACTGATTCACTATCACAACATCCTCGTTTCCTTCCCACCAATGCTCACACGTGTTAATCATGTATTCAGCTGTTTCACACTTATCTCTCGTGTAACAACTGGTGTCACCATTATAACGAGCATATGTGATACGTGGCAGGTGTCTACTGAATGGATGAATTCATACAACAGCCCTATGAAATCGATATTACTTCATTTGAGAGAAGAGGAAATCAAGGATTAGAAAAACTAACAACTGGAACAACAAATTCTGGCGAGGATGTGGAGAAGGGGGACCCCTCCTACACTGCTGGTGGGAATGTAAACTAGTTCAACCATTGTGGAAAGCAGTATGGAGGTGCCTCAAAAAACTAATCATAGAAATACCATTTGACCCAGGAATTCCACTCTTAGGAATTTACCCTAAGAATGCAGAATCCCAGTTTCAAAAAGACATATCCACCCCTATGTTTTTTGCAGCACTATTTACAATAGCCAAGAAATGGAAGCAACCTAAGTGTCCATTAGTAAATGAATGGATAAAGATGTGGTACATATACACAGTGGAATATTATTCAGCCATAAGAAGAAAACAAATCCTACCATTTGCAACAACATGGATGGTGCTAGAGGATATTATGCTCAGTGAAATAAGCCAGGCGGAGAACAAGTATCAAATGATTTCACTCATCTGTGAAGCCTAAGAACAAAGCAAAAACTGAAGGAACAAAACAGCAGCAGACTCACCGAACCTAAGAATGGACTAACAGTTACCAAAGGGAAAGGGACTGGGGAGGGTGGGTGGAAAGGGAGGGAAAAGGGGAATAAGGGGCATTACGATTAGCACACATAATGTGTGTGGGGGGGACCACGGGGAAAGCAGTACAGCACAGAGAAGACACGTAGTGACTCTATAGCATCTTACTATGCTGATGGACAATGACTGTAATGGGGTATGTGGTTGGGGACTTGATAATGGGGGGAATCTAGTAACCACCATGTTGCTCATGTGATTGTATATTAATGATACCAAAATAAAAAATAAAAAAAAGGAAGACTAACTGCCCATGTCAATCTGCAAGAAGCGGAAGAGCCAGAACAACTACATGATTCCTCTATGATTCCAGAACCAGAGAGAGGCACCAGGAACTTCAGAGGCTGAGCCCAATGCGACCCACTCACCCAAAGGGCGACGGAACCTCTTCAATCACCACTTCCAATAATTACAGCTAACACTTATTAGGCCCTTACAGCGGCCAGACACTGCTCTAATTTGCTTGTTTCATTAATTCTTTCAGTCCCCCACAACGACCCAATGAGGCTGGCTATTACTGGTCCACATTTCATGGAAAACAGGCCCAGAGAGGTAAAATAACCTGCAAACGTCACAGGGCGAGCGGAAGCTGGAGATGGAAGAGGCAAGCCTTGCAGTCCTAGCTCTTCTCAATCCCTCTCGCCAGCCGCACTCAAGGCCCCCAGTCACCCCATCCCACCCACCAGAAGTGTGAGCCCGTCTAGTAAGCTGACCACCTCCCAATGGGAGGATCCCACAACCGGGCGGGTTTCCGCCCGAATTCCTTCAGCCATTCTCCCCTTAAGTTTATCTAGTGCCGTCCCGGGAGCGGGGTGTTCTCGGCGCCCCCTCCCCTTCGGTGACCTACACCACAACTGCAGGAAGAGAGAGAGAACAGAAATTGCAAAGGCAGCCTTCATCTCTCGAGCCTCATTTATGGAGTTTTTTACCCTACACCGCAGACGCCAAGCTGCCAAAACCCAGAAAACCCACCCGGGTCCGACCACCCAGGCGGACCCTCCCCCACGCCGGGCGGGCCACGCGCCTCCCGAACCCCCGGGAATCATTCCGGAGCCGCCGCCAATCACCGAGCCGCCTCCTCCCCACCCGGCAGGCCGACCCCTCCCTGACCGCGCGCTCTCCGGCGCCGGGCCGCCGCGCGCACTCGGGGGCCCGGGACCATCCAGGCTGGCCTGGCTCCCTTCCAATCACGAGGGCCGTATCATCGGAGTCGGGGACTCCGGGGAGATGAGAGCTGGACAGCGACTGGCCGCCGCCCCTTCCGCCACTCCCAGCGAACGCTAAGCCTTCTCCGCGAGGGCGGCCCGAGCTCCCATGTCCCCCTTCCCACCTTCCCCAACTCCCCCGTGGCCTCCCGACCTGAACATCTTCGTTGCGGAGCTCGTCTATGAGCACCGCGATAGGGTAGAGCGAGTCGTCGCCGTCGGCCGCCGCCATCTTGGCTCCGTGCAGTTCCTGTCAGACTACGGCCGGCGCCGTGCTGAACCAGGCCTACGGAGCGGCAAGGCGGGGAGGAGGAGGAAAGGCGAACGTGGGGGCGCCAGGGCCACTTCACAGGGGCTGCCCTGCAGTCATTGGCCGCGCTCCTCTGAGAGGACCCGCGTTTCGTTGGTCCGGACAAGCGAACTCCCGCCCACTTCCCGTTTGCCATTGGTCCAAGGGACGAGATTACGCTCGCCGAGTCCAGGAGGCGGGGCAAGGAAACGGAAGTACACGGTATCTTAGAGACCAAGTTGCCCCGCCCATATCGCCGCAAAGGGCCTAGACGAGCAGTTGCTTCTAGCCAATGAGGGCAGGCCTGAGAGGGAGTGTAAACCTGTCCTGCGACTCCAGAAGAAAATTCCAGCGCATGCGTGGCTAAGAATTCATGACGTCAGGTGGGGATTACGACATTCTGCAGGTTTTGGCTTGTCGGATGCACGCCCACAACGACTTTGTGCTGTGAAGGAAGGAGTGAGTCTTTGATCCATTCCTTATTATGCCGAGGTCTAGAGAAAGGTGGTGACTTGCTGTACCCTGTAGATGAAACCCAGCCCTTCGGGCTGGTCTTCATGGCCCGTGAATCTCGTAACTGGACCGTCCCTGCACAAATCCCCCACCTTCCTTTTTTACACTTAAGCATTCCTGGAAAATTAGAGACAATCGAACACATTTTTTTTTCCTACCAAGACTTTGCCTAAACCGTACAGTTGAGCGGTTACTGTTCAATTCTCAGATCTCTGCATGAGTGTCTTCTGTCTGTGCTGGTCCTCCAAGTCCGCAGAGCCACAGATCAGCCCCCAGCCCCCACCCCCGACCCCTACATACCCCGCCTCCGAATTTCCATCCCTGGGGATGGGACTGTGACTGCGGTGGAGTCTGTTCACTGCCTCACTGCTGGAAGGATTGTGCATTGCAAATCTGTCTGCCCGCAGAGTCCCAGTAAACTCCCGGGAAGACAGGACTCTGAATGTGTTCAGGTTTTATCAGCTACACCTACTAAAGAGAGGTGATGACACCTTAGACAGGACTATTGACACTGAGGCCTCCAACTTGCCAACAAAAAGGATATCATTATTCAGTGAAAACCTCATCCATCACATATTAGTAGCACTTGACTTTAATCTTTGCACACCCACTGGTGGCAAATGAAAGTAACACTTCTCTACCTATACCTCAACCTGATTGACATAATCCCCTCCGGCACTTATAGGATGGGGAAGCACAAATATATGACACAAAGTCTTACTGTATTCTGCTGTAGAAACAACAGGATGTTGAATTTTTCCAGGAGGTCTTGCTATGGTCTGTGTCCCCTCAAAACTGATATATTTAATACTAACTCCTAAGGTGATGGTATGAGGAAGGCGAGCCTTAGGGAGGCGGTTAGGTCCTGAGAACACACCCTCATGAATGAAATTGGTGTCCTTTAAAAAGAGGCCCAAGAGCATACCCTTGCCCCATTCTGCCTTGTGAGGATTTAACAAGAAGTGTGCAACCCAGAAGAGGACCCTCACCTGACCATGCTTGGCACCCCGATCTCAGACTTCCAGCCTCCAAAACTGAGATACCAATTGTTTATAAGCCATCAAGTCTATGGAAGTGTTTAACAGCAGCCCAAACACACTGAGATAGGCCCCACTACCTCGTCAAGTTGGCTTCCCTCTGCTCCTGCAAAAATGCACAAAGGCTATTCCTTGTACGGCTCAGTCACTATCCCATCCTCATTGCCAAGGTATAAAATGTGTAAGATTTTACCCCATTGAAAACCACCAACAAGTTAGCCTTTCATGGATGCTGGCACAAGACAGACTCCCAGAACTGAGACAAAAGGCATTATGTTCCTGGCATGACAGGCAGCAAGAGCTTTGCGTTCACGTCCATTCCCACTGCTCCCATGGGGGCCTTGGAAATATGTCCAGGTAGATGCTGCACACATAGTAGGTTCGTGTCACAGCTAGAGAACTTCAAGTTCAAGAAACCCCAGTCCTTTCAAGGAGGTTTAACAGCCCAACCTTTGCCTCCAAGGAAGGCATTATCTGTATTATATTGGTCAGCTGTTAATCTCCCCTTGACCCCAGGATGGGCAGGAATCAAGGCTGTTAGATAAAATTCCGTGCAAGATAGTCTTAAACAGAATGGGATACAAGATATGAAGACAATGGAGAGGCTATGGCAAATTGTCTCCCAGCTGGGTGCACTGTTCCTGTTAAAATCTGGGAATAACTGATTGAGTAAAATGATCCACTGAAGATTTTTGACACCAGGACTGACCTTGGTCACATGGTGCTGGGGAACTTTAAAGACAGAGACACAGGAGACTTCACAGGAAAGACAGGGCCAAGGGAGAGGCGATGAGTTCATCACATCTTTGGAATGAACTGAAATGTGTTTGTGTGTCAGAAAAAAATATAATTCCTTGACTATATACACAACAAATCAATTCCACATGGATTACTGATCTGAATTCTAAAGCTTTGTAAAGTTTTAATAATAAAGGAGAACATCTGCGTGGTCATAGAAGAGCATTTCTTAAACAGGGTCTCTTTTTAAAGGACACCAATCTCATATAAAGGAGGAAATATCAAATTACATTAAAATTCAGACTTTCTCTTCATGAAAAGACACATACACATAGGAAGACAGAGAGAGAGTGTAAGAGAAACAGAAAACCAAGAAGGGGAGCATGGCCACCAGGTGTGTAGAATTACTACAAATCAATAAGAAGAAAACATAATAGGCCAAAATAAACTAACACATACTTCAAAAAAGGTTACCTAATTCCTAATAAATATGCAAAAATATGCTGAACTTCCATAATAATCAAGAAAATGCAAATTAAGTCTTTCCTTGGTACCATCACACAGCAACCAGAATTCTAAACTAAAGACCATAAAAATTGAAAGCGCTGACCAGGATGTAGACAAACCAAGAATCTCCCATACTGCTGGTGGGTGTTGAAATTTGTACAAACATTTTCTGAACCCCTCTGGCACCATCTCCAAAACCTGTCACCCAGCAATCCCACTGTACATATGTAGCCCACAGAAATTTGTATGTGTATCATCAAAACATGTTCTGAATTTACATACCGGCATTATTTCTAATGGCCCCCAATGAAAAACACCCATATGCCAACTAACAGTGACATGGTTTTTTTGTTTATACGCACACAGCAGAATCCAATACAGTGCTGAGAATGAATGATCGATAACAAGCAGCAGCAATTTCACAGACAACGTAAGGGATGACAAGAGCCAATTACACAAGACTGAATGTGTCATTGCAACACAGGCGAGAGTGATCTATGCTGTTAGCTGTCACAGCAATGGTTTCCCTGGGATGGTGAGTGGGGACATTGCAGGGGGCAACTAGGTCTGACAATACTCTGCTGGTTGGTCTAGAAACTGAGTACAGAAATGGGTTCCCTTTGTGGACTTTCACTGAGCTGTGCACTTATGACATGAATCTGTGTCTTCAAGGTTCTCAAATGCAATTCGCCAACCCACATGTGGGCTCTGTCCACAGACTAGGGTTGTAATGTCCTTGAATTGTAAAGGTGGGGTTTAGTTCTATTAAGTAAAATGAAACTGTGATTAGCTTTTAAATAAATGTATGCTGAAATTTCCAAGAAAAACTGACAAATACTGAGTCTACAACATCTACTGATAATGCAGATGAGCCAATTATTATATTAAACTTAAATGGACTGTCCTCATTTTATAAATAAACATGTTTTCCTATAATTACTGAATTTTTCTCAAGAAATGTGGCAAAATAAAAGTGGCCGGAATTTGCACAATTACATAATTAGCCTGGTACTGTACACATCAGATAACTTACACTTTGAGATTAGATAAGACTAATTAGTACTGTTTCAAACTTAATGTATGAGTTTCCCATATATTGATTGATGGATAACAAACATGACTGACTTTATATGTATATGTATACTTACACATAAATATGCACATCACACACATATATGTACACATGCATATAAACATACACAATTGTAGGTATGTGTGATCTAATTTGTGATCTTACTTTGTGATCTAATTTGAGGCAAATATAAGTGTCTCATGTGAGCTAAAAAAATGGGGTTTTCTCTGTTACAAGGTCCAATATATAAATCATCAGGCCAAAATAATTCTTTCATTTTCTAATTGTTGAATTCTCAATACTTTGCATCAGGTTCAGAATGTAAATGCAGAGAAAACTATATTTAAAAAACTCTCCTAAAATTTAGGAAATATGCACTCTGCTCCCTGAAAACCAAGGAGCCATGAACTCCACATAAACAGACTGGATTCAGGGCTTTCCCTTTCCAGTGGCTCTCCCTACAGTGCTCCAAATTTCATGGACTTCTCCACCATAAACAAATCCCATCAGTTTGGAGACATGAGGGTGCCCTCCAAACCCTTCTTGCCAACATGGCCAAGTCACCTTCACAAAAGAGAGAAGAAACCTTCTGTAGATCCCAACACCATGTGATTCACATCTTTTGAAATTATCACACTCACCTGATGTCATTTAAAATCCAATGAAGTTGTAATTTTAGGCTCACCTTTGCCCCACTACAGTTCAAATGGCCATTTCCCCCTGAAAAAGTTTAAACATGCTCATCGCCCTTTATAGCATCCCATTTCAAACAAAGGACTAAGGCCTCTGTAAGGATGTACTGTACAAAACTTAAAACTGGATCCCAAAGCTTTGCTCACTGACTGAATTTCCCCTCCAGGGCTACTGTCCTCATTTTCAGTGTTGACCCAGTACATGCTTATCCATTTTTATGTGCCTTTTCTGAAAATTCCATGCCGAGTCCCTCTCTGAGAAATCTGCTGTGATAAACTTAACCCACATACACAAAGACTTCTCCACGATCTCCTCATTTCAGGAGCTGGTGTTTATTATTGCATAAATTCTGAACTCCTCCACTGCAAGCATTAGTAAGACTTCTATAGTATAGATATTGACATAATTAACTAATATTTCATTACGATTACTATCATAACATATTGTTAATTTCAAAGAAAATGCTCAGTATGTCCCATTTACCATACTCTGGTAAACCACTCATAATTGTACCTAGGACTCTGAGAGGGGTGAATCACCAAGTGCACATTGTGCAAATGCACACAATTTACTTATTTCTCACAAGATGAGGGGATTTTGTGTTCCTTATCCAGGCAAGCAGAGCCCGGATGCCCTGGAGTCACAACTTATGAGAAAAAAGGGGCTGATAGTTGGGAAACGCAGAACGATTACTGTACTGGTGTCCAGCAGGAACCAGCAGGGATTTTCAGTAACAGACAGAAAAGACTGAAGGATGGCAGAAAGGGTGTAGAAACAGACCAAGGTGCTCACCAGGAGGAGGATGCTTCTGGTTGCCCTGGACTCAGGGGAGGATCTGAGGGCAACATTGGCTGTACGGATGTGCTGGACCCGCGGCTTGTGCCTGTGCAGGATGGACACTGTGCAGCTGGAGGCCCCGAGCATGAGCCCCAAACACACAATGTCAGGGAATGACCGCGGTGCTGTGAAGACTGAGTCTGTGGCTTTGTTGTGACGAATAGCAGCACAGGATCTGAAATCTTTATTGTTTGTGATGTTTTTGTGGACCACACACTGCTACTCAAAAATAGAGGAAAAACTATTGACCAGCATTGCCAGGATCCAGCCCAGGAAAACAGAAGGAACGATGATCCTGGGAGCTCTTGTGACAAGCTCTGTCCGCCTGGATTCCTGGGGCTCATGGTGACGGCCTGGAAGACGCTCAGGAGGCAGGTGGTGCCAGTGGACACGCCCTCGGCCACCCCGCGAACGTAGGGGGAAAATCTGCATCCCGAATCACCGAGAGCATGAAACCACCCGAAAGATCTTACTGTACATTGGACTCCACAAGAGAACAGGACCAAGGAATTGGCTACAAGCAGGTTCTTGATAATCAAATATGTGGACCTTAGCCTACACCTGGTGAAGTAAAGGAAGAAATAATGATAAAGAAGAGAACAATTCCCCCGGATTCCAAATGTAGTCTGTATATTAAGACAATCCTCCTATGGCCATCTCCCTGGTGTCCATCCTCTCAGTTCTCAATGACTGATATTTCTCTTGAGAACTAGGATTTCCTGCATGGAAATATGAGGTGTGGGCTACATTGTCTCAACTGAAATTCAGTATTCTCTACTCACCAACAGTTCCTACTTTGAAATAATTACTTAGTCTTCCCTCTGTCATTGAGGGTCTTACCTAGTCATTTAGAGGCTTCCAAATGGTGCATGTATAATCATTAAAGAACATTTACAATGTGGGACTCACTGCTTGGATGGCCACACACGCAGGGGCATCCTTATGCTCCACAAACCCATGAGGCAGGCACTACCACATTCCTTACAAAGATGAGGACACAGGCCCGGAGAGGTGATGTGGTTTGTCTAGTTCCCTCACAGGTTAGGGACACAGGTGTGGATTTGAACCTGGATGGGCGGGTAACCAAGTTAGAGCATGTATCCCATAACTATGAAATGCTGGTTAGCTTATTCCTCAGATAAACCAGATCTAAATTAAGTTTGGTGTTGCCCCTTGTCATCTGAATTTCAATTAGTGGTACTTTATTTTAAAATATTGGTGTGACAAAGTTTCCCTTTACCGATGAAGACTTATTCTACTAGCAAACATAAACTTTAAATAAAGCTTTAGGGATCCTAGGAACATGTAGGTGGTTGCATATAAAACTGCAGGCATCTGCTCCATGATGAGTCGGATTTATTGAATACCAGAATGGCTCCCCATGAGGATGGTTGAGAGACAAATTACTTTGCTTTTATTTCAAGAACAGAAAGACACCTGCACGGGTCCCGAGAACTGTGAACACAGAACACTGATGACTGGTAAATAATGTATGGTAGAGACACAATCATTACTAAATTCAGACCATTTATTTATTGTTTATTCTTAACAATGTTATTTATTTTTATTCCCATCTTAATACATATACTACATCTTGATTATGGCATATAATAAATATGTACTAATAATAATGATCATAATTTAGTAATCAATTATGATTAAGAGAGCATATCTATTAATACCTGAGTTAGACAAAATTATTAGCAGTAAGGCAAGATTTATAACATTAAAAATACAAGATACAGTGAAAGACCTATGCCCTGAAAACTATAAGATACTCTTAAGTGAAATTAAAGAGGACACTAACAAATGGAAACCCATCCCATGCTCTTGGCTAGGAAGAATTAATATCGTCAAAATGGCCATCCTGCCCAAAGCAATATACAGATTCGATGCAATCCCTATCAAATTACCAACAGCATTCTTCAACGAACTAGAACAAATAGTTCAAAAATTCATATGGAAACACCAAAGACCCCAAATAGCCAAAGCAATCCTGAGAAGGAAGAACAAAGTAGGGGGGGGATCTTGCTCCCCAACTTCAAGCTCTACTACAAAGCCACAGCAATCAAGACTATTTGGTACTGGCACAAGAACAGAGCCACAGACCAGTGGAACAGAATAGAGAATCCAGACATTAACCCAAACATATATGGTCAATTAATATACAATAAAGGAGCCATGGACATACACTGGGGAAATGACAGTCTCTTCAACAGATGGTGCTCGCAAAACAGGACTGCTACATGTAAGAGAATGAAACTGGATAGCTGTCTAACCCCATACACAAAAGTAAATTTGAAATGGATCATAGACCTGAATGTAAGTCATGAAACCATAAAACTCTTAAAAAAAAAAACATAGGCAAAAATCTCTTGGACATAAACATGAGTGACTTCTTCATGAACATATCTCCCCGGGCAAGGGAAACAAAAGCAAAAATGAACAAGTGGGACTATATCAAGCTGAAAAGGACACCATCAATAGAACAAAAAGGTACCATACAGTATTAGAGAATACATTCATAAATGACAGATCCGATAAAGGCTTGACATCTAAAATATATGAAGAGCTCACGCACCTCAACAAACAAAAAGCAAATAATCCAATTAAAAAATCGGCAGAGGAGCTGAATAGACAGTTCTCCAAAGAAGAAATTCAGATGGTCAACAGACACACGAGAAGATTCTCCACATCGCTAGTTATCAGAGAAATGCAAATTAAAACCACAATGAGATATCACCTCACACCAGTAAGGATGGTTACCATCCAAAAGACAAACAAAAACAAATGTTGGTGGAGAAAGGGGAACCCTCCTACACTGCTGGTGGGAATGTAAATTAGTTCATCCACTATGGAAAGCAGTATGGAGGTTCCTCAAAAAGCTCAAAGTAGAAATACCATTTGACCCAGGAATTCCACTTTTAGGAATTTACCCTAAGAATGCAGCACTCCAGTTTGAAAAAGACAGATGCACCCCTATGTTTATCGCAGCACTATTTACAATAGCCAAGATGTGGAAGCAACCTAAGTGTCCATCAGTAGACGAATGGATAAAGAAGATGTGGTACAGATACACAATGGAATATTATTCAGCCATAAGAAAACAAATCCTACCATTTGCAACAACATGGATGGAGCTAGAGGGTATTATGCTCAATGAAATAAGTCAGGCAGAGAAAGACAAGTACCAAATGATTTCACTCATATGTGGAGTATAGGAACAAAGAAAAACTGAAGGAACAAAACAGCAGCAGAATCACAGAACCCAAGAATGGACTAACAGGTACCAAAGGGAAAGAGACTGGGGAGGATGGGAGGGAAGGGAGGGATAAAGGTGGGGAAAAAGAAAGGGGGTATTACGATTAGTATGTATAATATGAGGGGGGGCACGGAGAGGGCTGTGCAACACAGAGAAGAGAAGTAGTGATTCTACAACATCTTACTACGCTGATGGACAGTGACTGTAATGGGGTTTGTGGGGGGGACTTGGTGAAGGGGGGACCCTAGTAAACATAATGTTCTTCATGCAATTGTAGATTAATGAAAAAAAATAAATAAATAAAAATAAAAAATAAAAACTTAAAAAATAAAAGGTAAGCTATGGCAGAAAGCAATGTTTGCAGATGGTGATGCACTGAGATAGAGAAGATTGATAAAAAAAATACAAGATACACATACACAATGGAACGTTAAGGCAAAAAGCATGTGTATGGTATAAATAGCATACTTTTTTTGGATTGGTAGTGTGGGTAAAATGCAAGTTCCTGTGGCCAGGATTCCCACCTGGCTCTGGTTGGCTGGCTCACCACACACCTGTGGGCAATGCGTTGTTATTGACTCTATATAAAGAGCTCCGCCCAGTGGTCTGGGCGACAACACAGTGGCAGGGCTGCAAGGCTGCAGGAGAGCAGAGGAGAGGCTGGAGTGATGGCTGCACCGAGGACAGAGGCCCAGAGGCAGAGATGGGCTTGCTGCCTGCAGACTCGCTCTGAGTGGACGGGATTTTGGTGATTGACCTGCTGCCATGGAAACAAAGTTGGGTATAACCCTTTCACCCCAAGAATGTTTTACTATCATTTTCTTTGGCCACACTGAATCCATAGTGAACTTGCCCGGGGCTGAAACCCATTGGCAAGACAGTAGTATAATATTTAAAAGCAGCTACAATATTACAAGATTCACATGAGCTTAAAAATTTTGTCTGAAATGTACAAAGCTAAATTTTTCCTGCTGCTGCCTGCTTAACAGTTACCTGGGAAAAGTCTCCCCATCATCACTGGAAACATAACAGTCAAACCTGTTAAGCACTGACACACCCAGCCTTGGAGAGCATTTCACCCCAGCAGCTGCCACCACACACAGTTTCTGCACAGCACCAGATGATTCCTGTAGATTCAGCCTACTCTTTGTTACAAGCAAGGAGGTGTTACAGGTGCACCCCTAGAAACCTTAAAATCACATCAGTGATTCTTGTAAAGCTGGCTGAAAAGCAGATTGACTGTAAACTATAGCCCTTAAGCACATTCAAAACCAGATTTCATCATGCCTTGGATGAAATCACAACAGTCACTGTCAGTGAGTGTTATGTCACATCACATTTGGAGCCATCAGGGATGGTGTGGGGTGGGACCCCACCTCCTTTACCAGCTCAGCTCATGCCTCAGGATTTATTCCACCTTCCTACGTGGCTTTGGTCCTGGACCAGGTTCACACACAGAAAACTTTGTCCCATAGATTCACTTATCCTGATTCCTGACACACTTCCTTCGCTCAAAGATTCTACCTCTCAGATGAACAGAGAGAAAACCCACTGACTATTTCCTGCTGACTGGGTGGTGGGCTCAGGGTGAAAGTCAAAGCAGTCAGTGAGTTTGGGAGGGGTGGCTGGACCCTGAAATAGGACTTAAGATTCTGTGACATCCCCTCCTCCCGGAACTACAATTACTGTTTCACTTCCCACAGCGCAGGCAGTAACAGGCTTGGGACCTGAGAATATTTTTGAAAACTTTTTTTCCAGTTGCTAATTACCAAGAACTACAAGCTGCTAGCTAGCATCTCTTGAGAGATTACTGGAGCATTTGTGAAAGACTCACTTTTCCACAGTCCCAAGGGCAGACAGTGGCTCACACGGACGGGAGCAGGAAATGCTGACATCTGGCACGTGAGGGACTGGTGCTAAGTATGTGTCTCCTTGGATATTCTGCCTCATTGGGAATTCTATCCGTGAGTTCTTTTCTAATTTTGTACAACTGAGCTGCATCATCAATGAAGTTATGAGCAAAGAAATGGAAGGGGTCAAATAACTGAGGATTTAAAAAGAGATATAGAGTCACATAAGAACATGATGGCAGTAATTCACATTGGAGATAACCACTCATTTACACAACTCAGTATCAACTAATATGTAGTGTTAGGAAATTATAATTTGCTAGTACTGACCCTCATTGGTGGTAGGAAGTAGAAGCAGGCCGATATCCACAGAAGAGAGAAAGTTCTAGAAGAGTCCCTCACAAAGAAAGCACCATGACCAGATGTAACAGCAGCATTCACCATTCTTGTAACCACCAGAGGAGCTCGCGTTACAGAATTCAAGGCCATCAAATGGTCAGCATTTAGGTTTTTG